CCTTGTTGCTTAAATTAGTAAGGTTTTATTGTGGAAAAGTGTTCCTAAGAATAGATTGTCATATAACTCAATAGGTTACTGGTATACGCTTCAGTCGAAATTCGAATTCTAAAAAGCAAAAGCGTTCTTTTTATACTGCCATGATTTTGTTTCCCATTAACCTTGAGTTGTGGATATGAATCAATTTAGTCACAAGTGAGTTAGAAAACGCAACTAACTTTGAAGCTGCCCTCTTCTTTCATTGACTGATTTATTTTGTCTTCAGCCCGAGACTGTGCCGAGCTGTTTACTGCTGGCTTCAAGGAAAGTGGAGTGTACACAGTCAACCCAACAAACAAAACCAGTTTTCAAGTATACTGTGACATGAAGACTGACGGCGGTGGCTGGACTGTCTTTCATAAACGCTTCAATGGGTTTGTTGGATTCTTTAGGGACTGGGACGAGTACAAAAACGGCTTTGGTGACGTCAGAGGAGAGTATTGGCTTGGAAACGAAAAGATTCATCAACTGACTGAGATTCCGAGCCAGCTGCGAGTGGAAATCAACACAACATCCAGTGGAAATAAATATGCCAAGTATAGTAATTTTACGGTTACTAACGAGGCAACTAATTACACACTGTTTGTTGATTTCTATTCTGGTTCAGCAACCGATCGACTTAAAAACCTTAACGGTATGGCTTTTAGTACCAAGGACCGGGATAATGACAAAAACAGCGGTAACTGTGCTTTAAGCTACAGAGGAGCTTGGTGGTATAACAACTGTCACGCTGATAGTCTGAATGGTAACTATGGAGACACTTATTATGAGTGGAACTGGTACCTCAAGGGAAGCCAGATGAAGCTCAAACCAAAATCTCCTTGATCAGTGCTTCGTTTTACGGATAAACGCTGATCAAACCAAGCACAGGAAAGAAAGCAAAACTGACAAAACTAAAACACTATTCAGTATTGTTTATGTTTTTTTTTTCTTACAATATAGCCGTATCTTCAATAAGAGTACAGACACATTAGATAACGTCATGACGTGCTGATCTTGAACATTTCGCTAATGTTCAAGGGACCATTAGATTACTGGAAGGGGGTGGAGGGGGGGAGGGGTGGAGTGGTTGTATGAAATTGAGCTGCTCGACATTAGCTTTTCCTCTTTCCAACTCGGAATGGTTGTTTGCTTTTTTGAACATGTCTTCCATGTTCACGTTTACTGCCAATATTAATCTCGGGCCTTGTGGAAATTTCCCCGGGAAATTTCCCGCCTCTCGGATTTAAAAAGAGGCACGCCCTATGAAGAGATTGGTAGATTTCTTCGTGAATTTATAATGGCGTAAGAGTCGCGGTGGCCTAATGGGCTTTAAGTCGTGCGGCTCGGATTTATGGCCATGGCCTGGGTCATTTGTGATTTGATATTAAGGGCCCATTAACCGATCTTTTCGAGCCGTTGCTAAGGAAAATTTATTCGCATATAACCTCATCATTTTTAGTCAGTTCAGAGTTATTTCATGTGTTTTAACTTTTTCATGATCAGTAACACTAGTGATGACGTCTCAGGCCACGCCCATGGTCATGTGACTAATACAGAAAAAATGCAAAGGCTCCCAGGCAAATTACTTTCCCGGGATTTTTTTCATTGATTTAGCATTTTAATTTAAATCCTCATTACGCTATGCATCGATTTTGTTCAATTTCTAAAAGGTCAGATTTTAGGAGCATTTCAAAATATTGAAAAATTCGTAATTTTCTGAAAAAAGTATGATTTCGAAAAAGGAATACATAGCTATGTTGCCAACGTTGGCTTAAAC